CTTGAGTGAGTTTGGTCCTATTCCATGACTCTAACCTCGACAAGACTTACAAATTATAATCAATATCCTCAAAATAAATTCATATTCATTTCATAGTACGAAATCATGATCATGTTCATTTCAACCAATACATGTTAGTTAACATACTAATTCACATAGTGACGTACCTTAGTTCACATACGCCTGCAAAATTTTCAATTCCAATATCATAATAAATCAAAAACTCAATGCAACAGTATACCTCAATCTCCATAGCATCTGCAAAATTGAGAGTCAATTAAAGGTGAAATAACATTGATGCATTACCACAGTTTGTCGTACTCATGTCATGCTTTACATTACCCATGGTGTTAACATGCCAACTATTTACGAAGCATATCTATAATCAACAAAAGAACCTAGAATCATAGAGACCACTCAACCCACAAGCTAATGCACATGCATTGCCTCGCATATCCAAGATTGTGCGTGGCCTTGCCACAAAGTCCAAGTGTTACGCACTTAGCTTCTCTGAAGAGGTCCTCTTAAACTGACCAAGCGCCTGCCTAGCCGCAAACTGCTTCCCTTTGCCCTTTCCAGCAAACTTTCTGTCTTTCCAGGAAGTGGAACTGCTTGTTCCCTTCGTCTCAGTAATCTTGGCCTTACTCGAGTTGCAGAAGTCCTCGATGTCCCGACACTGCTGCACCAGTGTCCCAAAGTCTCTCAAAGCAGAACCAGCTAGGTAACCAGCAACATCCTCATTAAGTCCCCTGTGGAACTTAGCAGCCAAGAAGATCGGAGTAGGCCTCTCTATCCGAAAATGAGCGAAATTAACCAGCTCATTGAACTTGGCCAGGTACTCGTCAATAGACAACGAGCCCTGCACCAACCTGTCGAATTCCCCCTGCTTCCTCTCCTGCGCATCATAAGGGAAGTATCGACCCAGAAAGAAATCCTCGAAGAATGACCATGTCATAACATGACCCTGTTTCTCAAAAGCATGAGAGGTGTTCATCCACCACTCATGGGCATCGCCCTCCAGTATATACGTGGCGAATATCAGCTTCTGTGGATCAGTACACTGCATCACACGGAAAATCTTGTCCAGCGCTTGAAGCCATCTCACCGCAGCAATAGGATCATAAGATCCATCAAAGGAAGGTGTCTTATGCTTGCAGAAAGTATTAAGTCGGCGATCAATCACATCACGTTCTTCAGCAGGCTCCACATAGGGTTCCATCACCCCATTGAGTTGACCAGTGCCTTCAACATGGCTCTGGCTCTCGCCTTGAAGACTAGGTGGAGGCGGCAGTGGAGGTGGTGGCGGAGGGAACTAACCAACCGCAGGGCCAACCCTCATCTCCTCCAACATGACCCTCATCATGGTCATGTTCGCTAGCCGGTTCGCCTCAAGAGCATCCTCTGTGGCCTTCTGGTTCGTCTCTCGAGCGACGTCCATCATTGCCACGTTGGCCAATCTAGTGGCATCCTGCATCTTTGCCAATGCAGTCAGGATCGGGTCGGGTTGGCCCTCAGCAGTCTCGCGAGTTCTACTGGGTATTACCATGACTCTGCACAAGTTACACAAATTATGAGTTAATCAGGCCCACACATTGTGATCATATATGCATTATCATAATAACACTCAATAGAGCAAACACACAAGACAAGACTTCACAAAGCATCCTAAGCTATTACAATACATACAGGCTTTTCCCTAAAAAGTGCTCTGATACTATAAAATGTAACACCCCGTATATATCTGGTTGTTATCATATCATCGTATTAAGCCACACTTAATTTAAAAATACAGAATGTATTTTTGTATTCAATTATGACGTCATTATCATTAGCCAAGTTGAATTACTTAATTCATTTCATAAAACATCGCCTATATGTAAATTGCAAAAGACAACTAACTGAAATACCTCATAACATAAATAACATAATTATGTCTCTAGTCACGGAACTACAACACGTAGACCGGACCATCCTGATAGTTTATACAACTCAAAACTACAACCATAACTAACTAACATCAATGTGGCATGAACAATCCCCATGCTCACCAAATATGGCAACAAAGCCCAACAGAGTCTCAAATCCAATAACATGATAATAAATGTAAAATATGTCAGCATCCAAGCATATCATCATAAAAGCATAAATCTCAACTTAGCTCCGGCCTCCTGCCGCCCGAGGTATTAACCCCCGAGGTACCTGATCCTGAAAAATGTGCCCCAAACGTGGGGTGAGATCTCTAAAAAGAAATCTCAGTAAGACAAGGGATCTTTAAGGACTCTTCCGCCCCAAGCTCAGTTACAGGCATAATATAAGTTCAAAACAGTAATTTCAATGCATGTTCATATTAAGCATATATTTCATGACATTATAATCTTTTGCTAAACGAGCTAACATTTAACTCAGTAATCACGTGATGTATGCAAATACGGTTCGTCTGGCCAGGGAACAGGATAGGGATTATGCACGTCTGCGACCCATCTAAACATAAGAGTCGCAGTCTTATGCCTTACACACCAGAGTCGCTGTCTGATTGTGTAAGTAAACAACATCACTTCCATACATTACATGCCTTACACACCAGAGCCGCATTCTGATTGTGTAAGTAATCAACAGACATATTCACATATCTCAGGCATATATCAATGCATATAACATTTTCATAAAAGCATATCATGCATATAAACCACCCTCCCATGGAGGTCGGTGGAACAAACAACAGATCAATCCGAGGACACAAAAGCTTACTTTGCAAACTAGCTATCCAAAACAAGAGTCAACACAAGCTCAAAGTCGACAAACAGCAAGATCACAATATGTTTGGACCAATAATCACATCAATATTCGTACTCTACACGCACATGACATAAAGATAACACCTTTCCTTTATGTTTCTTGTCTTTAGGCTTCTCACAAAGCCACAAGCCCTTAATCACTTAGATTCTAACTTAGTTTAATTATTACAGAGGTTCAACTTAGCCAATCTAGGGTCCACAAACCCCAAACATCATTCTGTAAGAACAATGCAGCTACTGTTCTTCGAAAACCCAGAATATCCAGATATATGTCGGGGCCATATCTCATATCCGGATATCAATATCCGGATATCCATATCTGGATATTTTGCGACAGAATGCAGTTTCTGCATTTTGCGATATATCACTCCAAAGGTAGGGTTTTTAACCCATTCCAACGTTAAAGCATGCATTTTTATTCTGTTTTAAGTTCATATACAGATTACCTACTTGTTTAACTCATTAACATGCCAAGAATTCACTTTTACACCAAGAAAACTCATGATCAAGGTTGGGGAAGCTTACCCAAGGATCAAAACTTAGAAAAGGTTGCTCTTGGAGCTCACCACACAGCTGCAAGGTTCTGTCTCCCAAGGCACACGAAAATGACAAGCAAGCAAGGTTCTTTTTCACCAAAGGTGGATCCTTGAAGCTCAACAAACAAGGAACAAAGGCTTCCCAGCACTCAAAGCACCAAGTCAGCCCCCTACACCTCACACTCAGAAGCTGGAACTCAGAAAATGGAAGTCTCACCCACTTATAAGACCACTTCACACTAATTCAAAGTGCAAAGGTGAAGGTTTAAAGGAAGAAAAGGTCTCTTTGCTCACAAAAATGGAGGAGAAGAGAAGGTAACAAGCTTGGGAGGCAACCAGCTTCAAAAAGGAGGCGCAACACGCAATAAAATCTGACCTAGGGACATGTGCCCTCAAATTTATCGGGGTATCAATTTTAATCACATTGTATTAGCGCTAATAGATACGCTTGGCATTTTAATCCCAAACTTAGGATTCTGAATCTACTCATTTTTCTAAGATTTATCCTATTTTTATTTTATTTTTCACAGCACCTTTCCGGTACGCGCTTTTCCATAGCCAGTATCAGTTCTGGCACCAGTTCTCATTATTTTAACTTGAAACTTGTTTTACAAGTCCTATATATTATTCTAGTGACATATACACACTTTTCATAATTTTCTGGGATACTTCACTGGTACGCATTTATACCGAGTAGCAGAACCGGTATCTACACTTTTCGTCCGAAAAGCGACTTTCAGCATTATTACTCACTTACTATGATTATTAAAGCCTCATAATAATTATTAGGGTCAATTATGGAATTATTTACTAATTTCTCTTAATTAATTAATTAACTTCCTTAATTAACGGTGCGGGTTCTTACACTTTCCTATTCCTCAAAGATATTGCTTTGATATGCTTACTTCCTTCTTTTCTCGAATTTTCAGTGTTACCAGGAAGTGCACCAATTGGTCTACTCCTCACGACTTTTGCCAATTGTCTCACTTGATTCTCCAAGTTCTTAATTGATGCTGCTTGGTTTTGGCTGAGACCATTACTTCTTGCCATGAAATCATTCAGCATTTTTTCCAACGACCTAGAGTTATCAGCTTGTTGTCTAAGCTGTTGGTATTGATGTTAGTGCTGGAATGATGGCCTTTGCATCTGCTATGCTGGAGCATAGCTTGACCCTTGTTGTTGCCTCTGAGAATAAGATAAGTTATTATTATCCCTGCAACCTTGATTGTAGAAGATTAAATAAGAGTTTTTCATGTTATAATTCCCTACAAAAAAGATACATTGATGATTTTGGGGACAATCATCATACACATGATGGCCATTACAAAAAACACATGTTACAATATTAGAATTAGAAATTGCATGTGCTTGTTGTGGCTATGCTCCAGCATCAATGCTCAAATTCAAGTCTTAATGGTATTGTTCAAAGAGGATATATGTGTTGTCAATAAAGATATCCCACTAAGCTCCAGCACTCCTGCAACTTTCTGCTATGTAATTGTCCTCTCGAATAACCTTTGATAATTGTTGTTTGCCATCCTCTCTAGAATCTCATAATCTTCTATACACTTTTTGTCTAAGAGGGATGCTCCATATGATGCTTCCACAATACCTCAGGTTTGTTCATTCAATCCATTGAAAAAAGTTTCCATCTAGAGTCATTTTGGTAATGCCATGATTGGGGCATTTTCGAAGCAATTCCTTCAATCTATCCCAGTTTTCATATAGTGATTCTCTTTCTTTCTGCTGGAATGATGTGATACCACTTCTTAGTTGAGCTACCTTAATTGGAGGAAAAATATTTGATCAAGAATTTCTCAGCCAAATCATCCCATCTTCTGATTGAATTAGGGGCTAAATTACTCAACCTTATTTTAGCCCTATTGGCTAAAGAGTAAGGGAATAACTTTCGCTTAATACATCAGATGTGACTCCTTGCAACTTGAAGCTATCTGCCACGTCCATAAAGTTCTTCAAGTGTAGATGTGGGTATTCACTTGGTAATCTATTGAACTGGCCAATTGTTTGCAGCATGCTGAATATAACTGGTTTCAACTCAAAGTTTGTTACTGCAATGTCAGGTTGCACAATCCTCGAATGGAGATTTTTAAGTGTGGGGACTCCATGTGCCCTAATAGGCATCTCTGCTCTATTTGGTCCTTCCCCATTTACGGATCTGTCTCCTTCCATGTTTGCAGTTTTGGGTATTGCTACAGCTCTATTCTGTCTTTCCCTCATTCTCCTATTCTGAAAGGTTCTCTTGATCTTTGAATCAAAATGGAATTCTGGATGATCAAGAGAGTAGCTCATAAACTAGCCGGAATACCTGAAAAGAGATAGAAAAGAGAGTGGATAAAAAATCACTTCACCAAAAGGAAATAACTTTAATAATAATCCTCGGCAACAACATCAAAAACTTGTTGTATAATTCTGCAATCAAATATATCAATCACACAAATACGCAAGTGCACGTGTCACAAGTAATAAAGTGGATATGTAAGTCCAAGTATCATTCCCACGAAGATTATATAAAGCTATGGCTCTAAGTGAAGTAATAAGATTAACAAAGATGATTGATGATTATACTATGATCTAAACTAATAATTAATGATTAAACTAAGCTAAGCTACCGATTAACTATGAAAACACAATAAAAAGATAAGTTTCAAGTATGCAAAAGATAGATTGGGATCAATTTCTCCAATATTATAATTTCACCAGAATGTTGTAACGATGTTATAGCAATCATCTATCAGTAACAAGAACACTCATGTATGTACGGGCTCTCACCAACCGTAGTTATTAAATCTATAGATTGTGTACTAGCTACCATATCTCTATGGTTGTGTAGTTATTAAATCTATTAAGTGCAATTCCCTTTGGTTTTGTGTAGTGAATGATCTCTATATCCATAATGTTTAATAACTTTCCAGATTCACCTATATCTCTATAGCCCAAACCCTATACACTTGCAACTCTCTCTCGATAAGTCAACAAGATTGAGATAATTTAAATACTTTATTAAACAACTTAATGAAAAATCACATAGCAAAGTTTAGGCAAATTGATTACTTCACAATACGGGTACTCTTTCACCCAATCATAGACAATTTAGCTCATACTTGAATAAAAAGAAAAAACAAAGAAAGATAAAGGCTCCATAGAACTAAGATAAAATAGACAAGGACAATGTTGTAGCAGCAACTGCTGGTTCCACCACCATCCACCGTTTCTCAGCCACCAGAGCAGTGCAATGTTCAACCAGATCTAGTGTTCTCTCTACTGGACCCTAGCTTCACCTCTATCTTTGTAGGATTTCTCTCAACGAATCCTCAAAATCTTCTAAGTGTTTCAACTTTTGAAAGCTTATTTTGGACATATGTAGGCATCTCATTATATAGCAAATGGTGACGTGGGTGCCAAGTAGTTCTTCTAATTTGAATTCCCTAGAAAATAGCCTTTGAAAAGGATGGATGTTTATCCCTTAAACTTGATTTAATCTTCTTGTTAGCCAAAATATTAGGATTGGAAGTGATATACACTTATCCTTTACCTTGCACAACTTTCTTATCTTGATCTATTGTTGTAGCATTCTTATCTCTCTGTTTGAATTTGAATTTCAAAGTTTAGTTACTCCTTGCACCTTCAAAGCCCTGTTTCACTTAAGCCCGATTACTACAACTCTGTTATTCGAATCTACGGCTTTGATCTGTAACAAAAAAAACAAAGACAATGAATTGCTCTAGTACTCGAAGTAACAACAAATAGCAACACTTAGCATATTTATCAATCAAAACATAAAAAGACAAGATCAATGTTAATATCATGCAATTCTAAGAGAATTATGATATAATAGGGTACCAAATCATGTAAATAAAACCTAAAAAAACTCTCCCCAAGAGAGTCATCAGCCACCAAAACACATCGTCCAATGTACATATGGGCTGCTAACCTTGTCTATAACTCTTGAAATGAAATCCCAATTGGGTGAGATGTGAATCCCAATAAATCATAAAACTACATGTAAATAAAACCTAAAAAAACTCTCCCCAAGAGAGTCATCAGCCACCAAAACACATCGTCCAATGTACATATGGGATGCTAACCTTGTCTATAACTCTTGAAATGAAATCCCAATAGGGTGAGATGTGAATCCCAATAAATCATAAAACTACCAATTATACTCTGTCATGATTCAAGAACCTATCTTGTTTAACATTATGTCATAATAGTCCTACAAAAGATTTCATGAAGAAAAACAAATATGCTCGTATATACATAAAAGATTAGCAGTCATCTATCGTACTATATGGTCTCCAAAACCTCGAGTAATCTACTATATGTGTCTCTCACTCATTGATCTATATGTGTACTGAGCTCAAACACATTGAGGCATCCCTCACAAATTATCAAATATGGCACCTTAGAATCTTTCAAGTATTGTATCAAGGATTAAGTCCTATTATTAGGAACTTAAAATAAACATTATATATGGATGATGGCAAGTAATGAATAAAATGGAAAGATGCAATCACATGAACAAGGAATATATATAGAGGTGTCCTCGTTACATTGCTCATTGAAGCGAGCGAGTTCAGCGAGGAATGAGAGAAAGCATTCCTTTCATGTAGCTGCTTGCTAGAGCAAGCAACACCAGAAAGCAGATTCTGGCTACAACTGTTTAACAAGGTTTCCCATGTCTAAAAACCCCACTTGAACCTATTCCAACACGCCATGTTATGCCTCCTAAGTCTAGAAAAGGATGTATACAACCTATACTAAGGCAAACTCCCAATATCCATGCCTGAACTATTCGCCGCATTTCATGAACAAGCAAAAATAGGGTTCCTAGTTAACAACAATTTATATTTTCATCCTTCTCCCAATCAAGATGAACCAGATACACAATTAAACCAATGCATGCATCAATCAAGAACATGCAACCATTCTCATGACATGATTTTCAAATTAACACATAGTAGGAGTGGTGGTTTCATGACTTACTTGAGGATGATGATTCCTTGTACAATCTTTGATCTCTTATTCGCCTCTACTTTGTGTCCCTCCTCCCTTTAACAAAAAACTCACTGGAGTTGTTATAAGCACCGCAAGAAGAAATGAGAATAATGGGTAGGTTGTGCTAATTTTGGAGAAGATGAAGAGAAGTGAGCATGGTGAGTAAGATGTGGGATGGATTGCCTTGTCAATGGGAGGGATTGAAAGAGAATGTGGTTAGGGGAAAAGATTTTTGAAAGTTAAGAGTGGAGAGAAGGTTTTTGAAAGTTGAAAGTGAGGAACTGGAGTATGGCAAGGTGTGGCTCATGGTCATCATATATATATATATATATATATATATATATATATATGTATGTATGTATGTATGGATGGTATTACATTCATGATCCAATTTCAAATTATAAGTGATGGACAAACTAGCATCAAATAGTCTAGCAAGCCTTAACTAGTACAATGATACATTTAGCAATAACAATCAACATAATATATATTAGATTCATCAAGTTTGCAACACAATTTGTTTGTAGATATAATGGATCAACTCTAGAAGATATAAAGCTTCCAAATTATATATTAACCTATTAGTTAAACTTTTGCCCCTGATGAACATTGTGTCGGGCTCACCACTAAGAATCAATAAGATTTGCTTAATCAAATTGAATGAATGAACTAATCAAAAGCTATCTCCTTGCATTAACCTAAAAATATATAACCAAAATTAGGTGAGTTATGTAACACCCCGTGTATACCCAGTTTGTTATCATGTCATCGTATTAAGTTTTGCTTAATTAAAAATGTGGAATAACTTTTTCTTCTCAATTATGACTTCATTATCAATTACCAAGTTGATTACTTAATCCTTTTAAAAACCTTGCATGTATGTAATTGCAATTAAACAGCTATCTAAATTGAATAACCTCATAATATATATATGTGAGTACCTAAATCACAGAACTACAACACGCAGTTCAGACCATAATCCTAATACATTAATACAACTCGAATCTAAAATAAGACATAATCAATCAATGTGGTATGGACAATCCCCAAGCTCACCAAATAAGGCAACAAGGCCCAACAGAGTCTTAACAACTTATCATAATAATAACATAAAGCATGTCAGAATCCAACAAATCATCAAAAAGGCATAATCTCAACTCAGCTCCGGCCTCCTGCCGCCCGAGGTCTCAACCGCCGAGTTACCTGAACTTGAAATATGTACCCCAAACGTGAATGAGATCTCTAAACAGAAATCTCAGTAAGGCAAGGGGTCCTCAAGGATTTCTCCACCCCAAGCTTACTTACATGTGCAATATAAGTTCTAAAAGCAATATACAATATCAGTTCCAAAATTAGTGCAATGCAACAGATAATCATGTCATGTGTGTTAAGATATTCTACTGGCCAGAGAAATGCAGGACTTAAATACGTCTATTGCCTACATCAGTGCCAGACGCCACTTGCACCCACCCATAGAATCACCGTATTGTATGACGCCGCATACTCAGGCTTACCGTCTAGATGGAATGACATATGCATATTATAAGGCCCTTACACTTGACAGCTCAAAAGCATTTCAATCATCAAAACATGAAAACACATCATGCATAAAACCATTCCCCCATGGGGCATGGTGGAACCAACAATGGCTAAACCGAGGACACGAAAGCTTACCTCGCAAGCTAACTATCCAAGCCAAGCTTACACTAGCTCAATGTCCACAAACAACATAATCACAATCTGTTTATACAATAATTAATCATCAATAATCATTGCACTAGATTCCATTAAGTGATTAAGGCTTTCCAACTTATTTTAAGTCATTTCATGCAAATTCTGCAGGAGGTATTCGAATACTCCCTGTCTCCAGAAAGTATCTGAATACCATCAGGTATCCGAATACAAATACCACAGTATTTGAATACTACCCAGTATCCGAATACTTATTCAACGGTATCCAAATACTTTTCTTCCCATAAAAGTATCCCAATACTCCTGCAAGGAGTATTCGACTACCAAGGGATAAGTATTCGAATACTTCACGAAAAGTATTCGAATACTCATCAAACAGAATGCAGAAACTCGAACTGCCCTCTGTATAATCCCATTTTTAAGGGTCCAAATGTGATTTGGAGTCCAATGACTCCATAAACAGATGTTCATTAACATGTTATAGACTCAGAAACACAGTCCTTAGCTCAAATGATCCGAGTTTTACTTTTTAAAGGATTAAACAAGCTTAAATCATCAAAATACCAAAGAGGTGATCATGGTATACCTCAAGGTTTCAAAATTCTGAAAATGAGACAGAAAAGAAGTCCTCTACACAACACCTAGTTTCTGTCCTTCCAAGACTACGAAAATGCAACACAAGATGGGTCTTTTCACCCTAAAGGTGGCTTCTTGAAGCCTAAAATCCCATGACAATGGCCTCACCCAACCCAACTCTCAAACTCAGCATAAAACCCCAACAAACAGCAGCTTGAACCACAGAAATGAAACACCTCACTCACCCACAATGCCAACCACTCAGTGTTTACAAGGTTAAAGGTGGATAATCTCTCATAAAAATGGTGTCTTGAAGGATTTTGTGAAGAAGAGACAATGGAACAGTGAAGAAGAAGGGAGGCAACAACTACATACACAACCCACGCAGGAAATGGCTAAGTATCAGCCTAGGGTTGTGTGCAAGTGGCTATTTATAGTCAACTTAAGTTTAATCACACAGTAATAGCACTATTAGCTACGCTTAGCATTTTAATCCCAAACTTAAAATTCTAAACCTAGACATTTTTCTAAGATTTGTCATACTTTTATTTTATTTTTCGCAGTACTTTTCCGGTACGCGTTTTTACTTAGCCAATATTAGTTATGGCACCAGTTCTCATTATTTTGACTTGAAACTTGTTTTGCTAGTCCTATATATTATAGGAATATTCATGCACTCATTATAATTTTTCGGGATACTTCATTGGTATGCACTTATACAGTGGAGCAGAATCGGTACCTGTACTTTTTGTCAGAAAAACGACTTGCAACATTATTAATCACTTACCATAATTATCTAAGTCTTCTCATAACTATTACGGTCAATTATGAAATTATCTCATTAATATCATAATTAATTAATCAAATTCCTTAATCAACGGTGCAGATTCTTACAAGTTACAATGCAGCCCAATGAACAATGAATAAAGACTATAACAAATTGGACAAGGCAATACATACAAATAAAAATAGTAATGAATTCAAATAATAAGGCTAAGAAATGAACTGTAAAATCCAAAGTAATTTAAATATGCTTTGTCAAGATAATATACAACTTCAATAGATTATTTATTTCAGTAAATTACGAATCTATATTTCGTCCTTAGTTTTAAAATTTATAAAACCTTAATTGTTTATTTTTTATTTGAAACTTTTTAAAGTTTTAAATAGGTAAAAAAATCACGTGATAAAATAGGAAAACGTGATTTATTAACTTAAGGTCATGTGTATTTCAGTTCTCAAACACAAAAAATGCAAAACTTGATTTATTAACTTTTCAATGATTTCGTTACATTAAAATCACGTGATAAAATTTTGTACCAAATTTATTGTTGGAAAAAACTAATTTAGGCTTTCTACTTTAGGATTATACTTGCTTCGGTCCTCAAAATTCCAAAAATGCTATTTTAGTATAAGAAATTTTATTAAAATTTGACGGAGGATCAAACGAAAGAATGAAAATGTATATACTAAAAACTTTAGGGATTGTCTTTTACGTTTTACAGTTTGAAAAACTAAAGTGAACATGTTCTTAATTTAGAGGTGATAAATCAAAATTTTCTTGTTGAATATGCATACAATGTTATTTTATAAAACTGTACAACTGTGTACAGTACATTTCAATTTTCAAAATGATTGAAAAATGAATTATTATATTTAAAACTCTTTTAAGTTTTAACTATTTACATCACGTTATCCAAGAAAAAATGTATTCATGGGTATAGTATAAAACATTCAATACTCAACATGACTGAAAAAATCACGTCGTACCTACAAATAACTACTTAAAACAGGATTATAATTAAAAAAGTTGAGCCATCAATCTTCATGAATGTAATAAGTTGACGCAGAATACACTTTTAAAATTATATGAAGAGAAACTTGATTTGGATAATTGTAAGAACTACGTGGCTTAAAATATTTCAATAATCCATTGATAGGTTAATGTTTAATTAGCATTTAAAATGATTTTATTTTTGTTTTATGATTTTTGTCATTAAAATTATGATAATTGATTTATGGAAAGAATATTTCTCCAGTCACTGGAGATAAAATCATATAGAGTGAGCTCAAAACGACGTCATTTTGGGATTAAAAAATTAAAAAATTATAATAATAAAGATTAATATAACCTTGCAATATATTAGAATTATAAAAATACCTTGATTTCCGTACCAAAATGATGTCGTGTTGGACTCACGGGAGATAACTTACTCCATTGACCAGAGAAATTATAACTTACCCTTGATTTATAAATTAATGCTTAAAATTTATCATATAATATGGTAATATTAAAAAGACATGAGTGGATTCATTGGGGAAAAAAATACTGGTTAATGAGAAAAACAAAGAAAAACTCATTAGAGTATAAAAGCCACTTTTATTAGGAATATAATATTTACGCGTTTACAGCTTCACACAAAATTAGTAAAGAGAGAAGAAGAAAAGTACACACACAGTTTTAGTTTGTTTTTTATATCCAAATTCCTAGCTGCCTAATTACCAATTATAGTCTTGGCCACTTGCCTTAACAACTTGCCTCAACCCACTATTGCACTATCTATCACAACACCCTATATATTTATTCAACCCACAAATCAAAAAGGCCAACCAAAAATCAACAACACAACACACACATTCTCATCCAGAATCCCAAATTCCGCAGCCATTTTCTTTTCCATATGCCTCTCTCTCCCTCTTCCATGGCTTCCATCCCTAACTTCTATCCAAACTACACATTCACTAGTCATGATATTGCAGGGTTCCCTACCCCAGGGTTTGCTTCATTCAATGGCTATACCTCAGTTATGGACAATAATAACATGTTGGGTACCCAAGATAGCTTCATTCCTGTGCTTGATAATAATGGGGCACTTGATCATGTTGTTTCACTGGATTGTGATACCATTCCTTCTTCTTGGATGCCAACTTTTTCTGAGCAAATAGGGGGCATTTCAGACTTTTCTGTTCCTGCCATTTCTGCAGACTGTAAAATGGACTTATATGGTGGAGGCATTACAGGATTTCAGAATTTCAGCAGCAGATACCAACCACATGTTGGTGAGTTTGTGGAAGAATGTTGTGGGTTTGTTGAGGATATTAAGCCACCTTGTTATCCTAATGCTGCAAGAGAAAACTGGGTATGCTTATTGTTTAACTCCTTATTGTGATTGTAATTCATTGAAGGATAGTTAATGCATGTATTAATGATATAAAAGTCACATGTTCGAATCGGAGAAATAACATCTTTGTAACATATAAGGGTAAGATTATGTAGAAGAATTGTCTCTATTCCACCCTCGCTATTCTGGGTTTAGTTAATGGGGAGTGGATTATGTATTGTCCTCTGCCTCTTGGAAGTGAAGATTAAAATGAGATGTGACATATTGAAAGAAAGTGCCTTTATATCTTCAGAAAAGCATCTAGTGTTATTAGTGTTACATAAGTTTCTCAGAAATATACAGCCATCAACTACAACCAAAGTTTTTATTCAAAGGAGTCATGATCCTGTCTTCCTTTTCTAATGAAAAATTATTCCTGTGCATGTTAATTAGAATTATATTTTTAAAGTTCTTTCATATCACATACAAAGTATAGTTTGTGGTCAAGAACATATATAATTTAATCGATATTTGGTTTTATTAATAGAATTTTGAAATTTATGGCAGGGAATTCAAGGCAATCAAATGCCAGCAGTTGAAGAGCCCAACATAAAGGTGGGGAGGTACTCAGAAGAAGAAAGGAAAGAAAGAATTCTCCGATATTTGAAGAAAAGAAATCAAAGAAACTTTAACAAAACCATCAAGGTCTTATTCTCTCTCTCTCTCTCTCACACACACACACACACACTTATATCGACATCACCCTTTTGCCCTTTTTGTTTAAATGAGAATTGGGAATTCACTTTCTCATTGGCATAATTCTACAGTATGCATGTCGGAAAACCTTAGCTGATCGGCGGGTCAGAGTTAGAGGAAGGTTTGCAAGAAACAATGAGCTATGTGAGGAAGACATGGCAACAAAAAAGCATGAGAATCATGATCACAAAGAAGACTTTTATGGTGGTGATTCAGTCCAGTTCCAGGTAATTAATTTTCATTATATACTATTTATATGGATATGAAGGAAAGAGAATCTATAGATGCCAAATAAATGTGGTGCTATCGGATAATTAACCATGCCCTTAAACATTTTTTTACCATAAATCAAGAAACAAAATATTTTAATATTTGCCAATGAGGGTCAGCACAGGTCGAATCTTCCGCACACGTTAATTGTGATTTGGGTTTGATTCTCAGCTTTCCCTCATTAATAGGTGATATGTAATTCCACTTTGAATCCTCAATGAGGTTTGTGGTCTTCCGTTCCTTATGTGGGGGCGATATTTTCTCTAACCTAGACTTTTTATATATTAAAAAAATTTAATATTTCTTTTTCACAATCAAATTTCGTGCTTAAATGCAAAAATTATTGTGACACATCCTAATAAAATTTTGAATTGATAATCATTTGTATGCAGTTAAAGAACGATGAGGAAGATTGGCTGCAAGAGGCCATGGCAAGTCTGGTTTATTTATCTCATTCTTCACCGGAAGATATGTAACTTAGCATCAATGATTCAACATGTATGACTAGCTAGCTCTTGTTCAAGAAAATGACTAGCGCAGGGTGAATAGGGAAAGGATGTTTACTATACAGTTATTTCCATGTCTATGCTAATTTGTACCCTTTGATAATTAAGCACGTAGATGTAAACTCTAATTGCATGGCGCTGTAACCAGCTGCAGTAGATTGTATTATGTTAATTTATAGGCATCTTTGTTAAGGAATTTGATGGGCCTAGTTTGACTGAAAACCTGAGTTGATTGAAAGATATAATATTCTATGGAAGGGACTTTATGTTTGAGGAGACATAAATATTCCGATAAACCTACCTTTTATGTCACAATCTCTCTAACTGTTTGGAGTCAATTCTCTCTATTGATGTAATTCAGTCATTGTTTTGTGAATGATTACCGAAAGCCACTAATCGAAAATTCTAGTTTTAAAATATATATATATATATATATATATATATATATATATATATATATATATATATGGGGGAAATCAATTCTTATTTAACAGGAAACTTGAACTCTTCCATATACTCATTGAAGTTTGTGTTGGATTTATTTTTATTTTTTAAATTTCTGAATTGGCGGGTCCCATTTGAAGATTGAGTCGGTAGGAAAACAATGTTTTCTCCTATAATAGGAGAAAAACAACACCGATATATATATATATATATATATATAAAAGGAAGGTTATATTTATAATTTCTTACAATCATATCTTAACCGTTGATTTCCGTCAATCAACGGTTAAGATTATCGCAAATCAAATTTATTAATTAATTATTAATTCGCAATAAAAGACAACCGTTGATTGACGGAAATCAACGGTTAAGATGTGATTGTAAAAAGTTGTAAGCGAAAATAGATTGTAAGCTTCAAAGCACTCACACGCTCTTTTTTTCAAATTGTGCGTTTCAGAAACCGACACGTTCCAACAAGTTCTGACACGTGTTCGACATGCGGTCAACTCTCCGACACAATTTTTCGACACGCAGTCAATTTTTTACAACACGCGGTCAATGCTCCGACAAGCATCCGACACATTTTTGTTTACTTTTTAATTTTATTTTATTAACTAAAAATAAAAAAATAATTTATAAATCAATTTTTCTCTGTTATGAAATCTACATGAAAAATTAACAAGATACGAAAACTTATTTTTGTTTATATTTTATGTTATGAAATTTGAATATTTGATCGGTTATATGACTTTTTATAGGTTGTTATATGTATTAAATATAAATTATATATATATATTGAAAATATTATTTAATATCAAAACGTGTCCCTACGTGTCGAAATATGACATTTTTTAGAATTAACGTGTCGGTGTGTCGTGTCGTGTCCCGTGTCAGTGTCGGTGCATCATAGGTTGTAAGTGTAAGAACCCGCACCGTTAAGATGTGATATGTGATATCCGGATATGAGATTTGGATATTCGGATATTAGATATCTGGATATGGGAATCTGGATATCTGGATATTGTATATTTGGATATGAACAATGAAATATCCGGATATTGCATATCCGGATATGGTCCCGAGGAATATCCGGATATTCTGGGATTTCGTAGAACAGTAGCTGTGCTGTGTGTACAGTAGGCTATTGGGGGTTTGTGGACCCTAGATTGATGAAGTTGAACTTCTGTAATTAATGAACTAAGTCAGAATCAAGTGATTAAGGGCTTATGGCTTGGTATGGAGCCTTAAGACGTAAAACGTAAAGGAAAGGTGTTGTCTTTAAGTTATATGCTTGTGGGGCATTATTATTGATATAGTATTGGTCCAGAACAGTTTGTGAATCTGTTGTGTTTGGACTTTGAGCTGTGGACTCTTGGCTTTGGGTGTTAGCTTGCAAGGTAAGCTTTCGTGTCCTCGGTTTAGCAATGTTATGGTTCCACCATGTCCCATGGGGGTGTGGTTATATGCATGCTGTGTTACATGCTTTGAATATTTGAAATGCTGTTGAGCTTTATGTGTAATGGCTTTTAATATGCATGTGTTGTTTCATCTTGACGGTAAGCCTGAGTATGTGGCGTCATACGATATGGTGATCCAGGGTGAATGCAAGTGGCGTCTTGCACTATGTGTGGGTATTTGGCGTATGTAAATCCTGCATTTCTCTGGCCAGTAGAATAGAATTGACACACGTGACATGATTATCTGCTGCATTGCACTGTTTAGAAATGATATTGATGAACTGCTTTTAAACTTATATTGCACATGTAAGTGAGCTTGGGGTGGAAGATCCTTGAGGACCCCTTGTCTTACTGAGATTTCTTGTTAGAGATCTCACCTCACGTATGGGGAATGCTTATTTCAGGTTCAGGTAGTATGGTGACTGATGCCTATGGCGGGAGGAGGCCAGAGCTTAGCTGATTATGATATTATGTTGTATTGCTGCCATGACTGGATTTCGGTGCTGTTTATTTTTTCCTCTATTTATGAGTATGTTGTTGTTGAGACTGATGTTGGGCATGTTGCCTTATTTGAGTAAGCATGGGGATTGTCCATGACACTTTTGTTAGTAAATTTAGATTGGAGTTATATAAACTGTTAGATGGTCTGGTCTACGTTGTTGTAGTTCTGTGACTAGAGCCACACATTTATTATCTATGTTATGAGGTATTTCAGTTAGCTGTTTTATTGCAATTACATACAGCCGATGTTTTATTAATTGGTTAATAAGCAAGTTAGTAATGATAATGACATCATAATTGAAAAGAAAAAGATATTCCGCATTTTTAATTAAGCGCTGCTTAATACGATAGTATGATAAGATTACCGGATATATACGGGATGTTACAATAAGTATAACTTTCCCCTATATATATATATATATATATATATATATATATATAGGAAAAAATGAAAATTCAGTCACTGGACCGTCCAGTGCACTAAATTCTCCCGCGAGAACTTAATGCATTAAATATTATAATGATGTTCTCCTGGGAGAACATAGTTATAATATTTACTATAACTGTGTTCTCGCGAGAGAACTTAGTGCATTAGACCAAATTTTGTATCCAGTCACTGTATACTTACTAAACCCATATATATATATATATATATATATATATATATATATATATATATATATATGTTGTCATTTATGCAGCTGTTGTATACTATGAAGCACCGACACTTCAAAAATATTGACGTGCCGTGTCCGACACTTCCCGACACTCTCGGACACTCCGACACTCCCCGACACTCCAACACGCGTTATTGAAATTCAAAAAAGGTTCAAAGGCTACGTTTCGTTGAATTTTTAGTTTCAACTATTAGATTCGTTGGATTACGATTACCATTTTATTGAGTTTAATATAAATATTTGGGATATCTTATGTTTCTTTGCAAAATTTATGAATATTATAATTTTAGATTCATTTTTTTGTTAAATTATTGAATATTAAATATAATATATACTACATAAATTAAAAATATTATTTAATATCAAAACATGTCCTAACCTGTCGAAATCTAACATTTTTTAGAATTAACGTGTCAGAGTGTCTTGTCGTATCGTGTCACGTGTCCCGTGTCAGTATCGATGCTACATAGGTTATATATACAACAATTAAATTGAGATAATCATAACCATTATAAAAATGGGTGAAAGCATTAAATGTGAAGAATTAATGGTCAAGATTAATTATTGTATATATAGTAACTGAAAAAATAATTTTATCATATATATATGGGATAGGATATTGTGACAACCAAATAATGTTACTACTAATGTTACTACCACATCTTAACCGTTGATTTCCGCCAATCAACGGTTATCATTTTTCAAATCAAACTCATTAATTAATTATTAATTCGCAGTAAATGATAACAGTTGATTGGCGAAAATTAACGGTTAAGATGTGGTAGTAACATTGGTAGTAACATTATTTGGTTGTCACAATATCCTATCCCTATATATATATATATATATATATATATATATATATATATATATATATATATATATAAGCAGGATATTCTTACATTGGAGTAAGAGTTAGAAGTCTTACACTCAATCTTGATCATTTATCTACTTGTATCCAATGACTCATATTACAAAAAAATTAGAACCCTCAGATATAATTGGGATCAACGATCAAGATTGAGAGTGTAACTTACACTGGTATAAAATGATCCTCACCCATGGGCAGAATCATCTTACCTCAGTGTAAGAATAATAAGTCTTACACGAAATCTTTATCATTGATTTGTGTGCATCTAACAGTTGGGATTTATTGGGAATTAATAACTAATGAGATGGACCCAATAAATCTTAATCGTTAAATGTACGAAAATCAACGAATAAGATTTGATGTAAGACTTTTTATTCTTACACCGATGTAAGTTGATCCTAAAACAATTCTGAGTGTCACGTAGAAGTTGTAGAATCAACCTAGGGTTTAGTGTACATTTAGCATATATAGGCTCATTAAACTAATCCATCAGTATTAGTTCTAATAGCTCCGCTAATCATTATAATCTCAAACTCCACAGTTGATTTTTCTAGAATTTTTCATACTTTTATTATAATTTTCGCAGCACTTTGCCGCTACGCGTTTTATACGTAGCTAGTATAAGTTTTGACATCAGCACTCGTTATTATGACTCCAAACTTGATATACTTGACCTAGATATTATTCTAAGAATATTCATATACTTATTATAATTTTTCGAGATACTTCACCGGTACGCACTTATACCGCGAAGCAGAACCGATATCTGCACTTTTCATCAGAAAAGCGACTTAAGCATTATTCATCTTTCCAAATATTCATTTTACCTTAATTATGTAGAATCTTTATCAAATTCATGCTCGGCATAGATAATCTTATTTAATTAATTATTTAACGGTGCGGGTTCTTACATATATACATTACAAGAAAATACTAAATAAGTTCCTTTCATTTAGATAAATATATATAGTACTTTTCTACTCATGTGTATGGTTAAAAAATTTATCCGGTTGATGTTAT